AGTGATACGTGATTTTTGTGTGAGGTTTTCTTGTCCTATTTGTCGTTTTTTCTTGTAGGTAGATGACATTGTCGTGCATATATCTGAATACACGAGCTTATTTGCTTGCTCGCCTGACGGTTATGTCTTAAATGTGGCTTGGAGGTCGATAATAAACATGTTGCTAGTCGCGCTCTGTCCTCTCAGTCTATTCCTTCTTGTGTCCGTTTTTCGTCTCGCGCTACATAAATTTCTTTCAAATGCATCACCAACAAGCCCACATCGCCCACTTTTGTGACGTCAACATAAAAGAAACGTGAAAACAGCATACGAGCAACGTGACGTCAACATTGCTTTGTGACGTGTTGACTTTCATGCGACGAGCGCAGAAACTATATACTACTGTGCGTGCGTTCGTAACGAAGTCATCTGGACTTGTTACGGGAACCGCCCTGAAGCGTCTGGCTAGGAAAAAAGCTCTGGTATGGTGTGAAAACTTGCATTTTAATGGTCCATGCACAAAAACTGCTTACTAACAGCTCTTTATTAACGCATTCGTACATGCATAAACAAATAGTGTAGGAAAAGCCAAGCTATAAAAATTTCAAAACACGATTGTGAAAGTCCGTTAGACCAAAAACACACTTTTCATATCCCAAAGCTTCCAACACATGTGGTATACATACCGCAATTTTTAGAGCATTGAAAATTGTGGTTTTACTTTGTGTAACCAATGACTACAATGCGTAAACATGTCTTGACGGTGCAGTATTTAATCTGCAGCATTGCAGCAACCACGAGGACATGCAGTCACATAGCTTAGGCAGAAAGGAACATGTAGAAGTGCCTGAATGCCATATGAAAGAATAAAAAAGACATTTAGTTATGAAGATTACTTCTTATTTATTTGTCGTTGTCACAGAGCAAGGCATGAATGGGAGTGTTACCAAACACATTTTAAGCATTCAGTAATAAATATTAACAAGGTATGTTGCAAGTTTCTTTCATACTTTGTCAACTGCTGGTTTGTAAAGAAACAGATACAGGTGGAAAATGAAAACACAACTTGTTTATACAAGCCCCGCCGCGGTGGTCTAGTGGCTAAGGTACTCGGCTGCTGACCCGCAGGTCGCGGGTTCGATTCCCGGCTGCGGCGGCTGCATTTCCGATGGAGACGGAAATGTTGTAGGCCCGTGTGCTCAGATTTGGGTGCACGTTAAAGAACCCCAGGTGGTCAAAATTTCCCGAGCCCTCCACTACGGCGTCTCTCATAATCAAATGGTGGTTTTGGGACGTTAAACCCCACAAATCAATCAACTTGTTTATACAATCTAAGCAAAAGTTTGACGAAAAAAGGCTTTTATCAATAGTATTTACATTATCAGTGAGAAAAAGAATAAGCAAGGAAGAAGACACTGGCGAAACTCCTACATGTTAAATACATAAGAGAACACGAGTACTATAGACAGTCACTGCCTTGTCTGTAATTTTACAACAGTGATGCATGCATTGTATTTAAACAATGTTTCCACTGCTGTTGACTGTGTATGTCATGATTTCATGAACAGAGACAATATAGCAGCAATGAAAAGCTGGTACACTCTACTCAGGTACAGTTTGTTTTGACGGGGCTGAAAGGTTTAAAACAAGAACCTGTTTTTACCAAAACAGAATAACGTACCGATATCTGTGTAGCGAAACATGTTGCACATCAAAAGAAGCTTCTCAGTTTCAAAGCAACTGACCTTCATGATTACTGCCTGACACAAATTCCGTGAAAAGCGGCTAATTAAATGTGGCCGATTGACTGCATAAAAATACGCCTTTGAAAGTTAAGGTAGCCGACACCCGGTCATAAATAGCGAAACGAGATCAGTGGAGAAACTGCTCAGTGTGATTCGCGCAAAACAGTGAGTTCCCAGTCACAACCAAGCGAGAAATATTCATCGCGAAACGAATACACAAGGCATGCAACTATTTTCTGTTCAGTTCATCACCAAATTGTTGTCCTTTTGTTCATTGGATGGTTAAACTGCCTTGACACAATTATTCTTGTTTATTCAGTCCAGATTTTATTAATTGGTATGTAGAGGTGAGCTCAAGTTATCTTTAAATTGTTATGCACTGCTTTGCATAACTGTCTAGTATTTTTCATTTATGAATTTCTTGTGTTGTGTGCGCTACTAATTGTAGTACTTCAACTTTTATGGATTTCCGGTGAATGCAGCTTGAAGTTGATACTTTGTAGCGAGTTGTTATGCGAATTTTTGTAAAGGTGGCAAAGTACTCTCACTTGTTTGCGGAAGTCATTTGGAAGGAAGTTGCTTTTTCTAAGGTATTCAAAACGAGTATTATGACCGAGTACCCTATTTCTCACAAAAATATAACACCATAATTGTCAACTAAGAATACACATACAATCATACTTGTGTGCACAAGAAAAGCAGCAGGCACAGAAAATGCAATCTTTTATAGTAGAATGACAAATGGACACCAACCTGCATCACCATCAGAGAAGCAACTAACAGCCATACCGCCACAACAGTTCACATGCCCAGTGGAGTTCACATATGCAAACTAAGCAGCATCTAATTCGCCACTTGAGTGAACAAGCTCGCCAAATCAGGATACGTCCAAGAGGGGTACACTGTCGACGATGTCGGCACAGAGCAATTGCATGGTAATGGCTGTGACGACTGTGGAACAAGCCATGTTGCGAGGCAATCGGTTGGCAATGAGGGCCAGCGCTATGAAGAGGAAGTGATTAGACCCATACTAGTAGCTTATCAAGCAAACAAAATAGATTAATGGGAACACTTCTCTAAACAAACGCAGAGAATCGGCTGAAGAAATCTGTCTGCAACATTCTATGAAAACTGTGCCACGAGTGACATAAAGCTATGTAACAATCGAGCAGTGAAAAAACACAGCAGTGAGGAAACATAAATAGTGCAGAGATGAAATTTGTGAAGCTTCATTGAGCTGAAATATTGGCCACTTACTCATTATTAATGGCAAAGAATCAACATTTCGAGCTTAATTGCGGTCTTAATTCAGTTCTTCAGCTCAAACATATTCAGTCTACCTAGTTGTTTTCAGAAAGGTAATGTTCTTTGAGGTACCAGCAGGTCACGGGTTCAAATCCCGGCTGTGGCGACTGCATTTCCGATGGAGGCGGAACTGTCGTAGACCCGTGTGCTCAGATTTGGGTGCACGTTAAAAAACCCCAGGTGATCAAAATTTCCGGAGCCCTCCACTACGGCGTCTCTCATAATCATATGGTCGTTTTGGGACGTTAAACTCCACACATCAATCAATCAATCAATGTTCGTTGAGGTATTCAATATAAATGATGCACGAAAAATTGTCAGTACTTCAAATTTGCCATATAAAATGGTGCTTACGAAACAAATGGCACTCACAGCGTAGTATTCCTTTCTGTCACTCCTTATCAGCTGCATTGATGGCAAAGTAAGATGAAATTCTTCTGCTCATTTTCTTCTTCCGGCACGTGCATATGTACTTAAAACAAAATAAAAAGTTTATCGAGAACTATAAAATAAAATGTTCAGCATGTTTTTGGTACACCACAGCATTCAGCCGAGTTAAAACTAAAAAGCAGATGTAAAAATGTTCTATAAGGCAGGCCACTTCATGATTGAAAATATAGACTCATACTTAACAAAGCAAAATATAGCAAAAACTACGTAAACGTTTCACCAAATATGCAGCTGGCATCCTCAGTATGCCCTGGCACCAAATGAGCGGAGGTTACACAGTTTTCTGCTTGTCTCGTATGTCGCTTAGTGTGCGGCCGCGGTTGTTGTCGCACACCAACTTGTCACACTAATGAATCACGACTCGAGAAGATTCCCTTTGGTGCACTTTTCTTCCCGAGCTAGCGTTGTCTCACAACTGAAGTCGAAGGCATGTCCCGTCGTCGAGCTGTGTTCGACGAGTTTTGTTTTTTAGTGGGTGGAATGGGTGACTTTTTTCATGCCTCCTTTGTGCTCTTTGAGCCCTGTTGGTCGCTCCCTGCCTATTTCACTCATGCGTGTGGTGCCGCATACATCACTGATCAGCACTTGCAGTCATATAGATGTTAAATGTCGTTGGTGAATTGTAACAAAGTCATAACCTGAGTAGATTTATCAACGACACATAGAAACACATGCAAAAGGGAACAAGAAATGTGGCGTGAGAAAACGCAAAGCCCATTGTTTCTGTACCTTACGTTGAAGGTTTTTCAGACTGTTCGAATAGCACTTAGTCCACTGGGAATTAAAACAATTTTCAAGCCTCTTGTACCTTGGTAAACGTGCTCTCTAAGCCCAAAGACAGCACCCCTGCGAATAACCAAAACAGTGTTGTTTACAAGTTCCTGTGCGGTTGCTGTGACACCAATTATATTAGCCAAACTGGGAGGCAGTGGTCAACGATTTTTATTGAAAACAAGGGGGACATCACAAAACCCACGCACTATAAGACAAAACTTATTAACCCTTTATTGACGAGACAATAAAATACTTGCAAAAACATTTATTTTCTACATATTTACAATTGTTGCAACAAGACTAAGCATATTTCATAAAAAGAAAAAAATTCTGCGCATAGTTTCTAAAATACAGCTTTGTTGCCTGTGGGCAACAGTAGACACGAGCCATAAGGTAGGCTTCACTGCGTGCTTCTTACGGGTTAGTGTGGAATTTGTGCATGCACTCCTTCCCTGGAGTGAAAGAAAGGTGTACGTTGCACTTCCTGCACATGACTCGCGTGATTCCTGTGCAGTTTGGGTATTTACAACGGCCTTTTTTTTTTGCAGAAAACATCGGGAGATGGTCGATAGTGTCGAGCCTTATCTCCTTGCATGGAACAGGAGCTGATGGCCCGCGCCGCTTCTTCGCCTGCAATTCATTGTCGACTTTTGATGGGCCCAATGGTCGCTTCCTCGAAGGGGTTGATACCTTTCCCTGTTGCCTCAGCGCGCAGGCAATGTCTGCTTTGAATGTTAGCAGGGTCATTTAGTGCTTGCAAGGCACGTTAGCCGCGGTGGCATCTCGGCGGTAGAGGAGCCAGCAGTTGAAAACTACTACATCCAATAAATGAAAAAAGAGCCTCCTGTACCACTTTTTTGACCTTACGTGGATGCGGTAGAGTGCCACAAGCATGTTCAAAAGATCAACACCTCCCATGCATTCATTGTAGATGCCGACAATAGCAGGGCGGGGTATGCTCACAGTCGTTCGGGTCTTCTTGTCGAAGCGCTTCACGGCCTGCTCGGGTGACGCTGAAGCAAACGTGGACAGTAAAGTCACGGGGCGGTTGTCAAACCACTTGACAGCCCTCAGGCTCACCCCTTCAAATGTGGTCGCCATTTCCACGTAAGAGCCACGCCCTTTCTTCTTCAGATCTTTGTCGAATGGAAGTTTGCATCCTTTTACGCAAGCCTCGCGTACTGTTTCTACGGAACTGATTCCAAACTTCTTGAGCACTACATGTAAGTCCACGCCGCAAAACCAGTTGTCAAAATACAAGATGTAGTCTAGACCGCGGGGCACGATACTCGCCATTCGCAGGACGATGTTGCCACCTGCGCCGATGTCGGGAAAACCTTGCTGAGGAAGAATTTTGCCTGTGTAAACTTCAAAGTTGGACATTATGCCGCGTTCATCGCAGAGAAGGAAAAGCTTATAACCCCATTTTTTGGGCTTGTTGGGCAAATACTGTTTCAATGAGCTGCGGCCTTTGAACGGCACCAGCTGCTCATCAACGCATAGCTTTTGAGATTTTGGTATCTCGTGGCATTTGGCGACCAGGTGGTCCAACAGGGGCCGCACTTTGTAAAGCCTGTCACGTTCGGGGTCATTCTGGTCTGGTGCTTCCTGGTTGTCACTAAAATGCAGTGACTGCTTGATTTCTTCCCACCTGTCTCTCGTCATGGTGTCGGCGACTTGACTGACTGGGAACCTCTGCGACCAGTACATGCGTGTTTGAGGCAGCTTCATAAAGCGACATAGTGAGCACTGTACCGATGAACTGCTCTAAATCATTGAATGTCATTGAAGTAACTTTGTTGGGATTCCTCTGAGCGCTATACAGGGAGGACTGCACACAGATGTGAGACAGGAATGTCACGTCAAAGAAGTTTCTGAAATAGGTGATGGGAGACTCCACCGGGGATGGGTAGGGTGGTACGTCTTTCCACTCAGGCATGGCATTACTCGAGGAGCCTCGGACAGCCTTCCATGTGGGAGAATCCTTCGAAGGCTTGGGGATTTCTTTAAGCGCATTGTCGATACTGCCCGCGCTTGGAGCTCCTGAGACCTCTTCATCCTCACTGTCAGCTGGCGGTGCTGTAAAAATTGCACAGAAAATGATTGCGATGTCAACAAAGTGCAAGAAAAAGCCAATAAAATTAAAAATAGTAATTACTCTCGTAAATTTCATCAGTGCTCTCTGTGTTCAGTAAAATCTATTTTCTAGTAAAGAAAAAAGTTGCGGAAATACTGTTTCGCTAGCTGGCCTAAACAATGACACTGTTTGAAATACACAGAGCCAGCCTGCTGCAAAGCGTAAACGGAATGCCAGACTATCTGCGTCCCACGCAGAGCTGCCGAACTTGGGAACACCTAGAAGCGTCTGCTGTGAGAGATGCCGACAGCCTCAAGTGAAAGCGCCGGGCCACACAACCTTTTGTAATACAAGCAACCCCTTCCTTCACCTCATCCCGCTGCGCTTTATTATGCAAGAGACGGTACTTTATTCGTCAATCGAATGATAGCGTAGCTCCGACTGACACGACAAAATAAATACTTACTTGTCCGGGATAAAACGGCATTTTCAGGCTCTTCGTCGCTCGATGAATACAGGTCAGAGTCATCACTGTAGTCAGGGGCACTTTTGCAGCAAATTTTCCATAAAATGCACCCGGGTCTATTCTTCGAAATCGTTGCTTTGTCTGCGTGTCCTGCGTGAGGTGGTGCAGCGATAATGGAAGCAGTGCAGGCAGAGGAGCGCGCTACCAGACAAAATTGCACAGCGCAACCTTAGCGGGATGAGAAACACAGCATTGTGCCTCGTGTTGCCTGTAGGCAACAAACACCTCACGCGCCCGTACGGGCCCAAATTAGCAGCGCCGTTTATATAATCTGACAACGAGGAAAGTGAGGCATTTTTCTAAGTCATTGCAAAAAGCCAGAGAGAGAACAACGAATGCTTACCCGGAAATAGATGTTCGAACGCTGAAGTCGCGTCGTAGAGCGCTTTGCAGAGATTTGTTTTGTTTTGTTTTGTTTTGTTTCCCTGGGAGGTTGGCTGTACACTGTACACTCAGGGGGATTGGCCAAGAATGTGTAGGGCAGTTTTTCTGTGATCATTTTGACTATGTGTAAGGAATTGGAATTATAATAAGACTAATGTAAATATAAAAACAACATAAAAAGAGCAAAAAAAATCAAGTTGAGCAATTTGAGATTTGAGGTGTTATGATTACCACTCAGCTGCGTTTACTTTACTCTGCCCTGGGGAGTAATAAATAATTTTTTTGATTGAAGATCACAAAGGTATACGCTTGGTTGCCTGAATATAATCGCAAACGTCATTGAAAGCATCCCTGTGGCAATGTCCCAAAGCTGAGGCGCCAAAGCTTAGCGCCGTTTCCGCCGTCAATCTAAGGCCTATTTTCCGAAATGGCATAACTAGTAACCTTTTTCTAAGTATCTCGTAGCGGCGACAATACAAAAAATAGTGATCTAGTGATTCCATTTCTCCGCAGAATGCGCAGAGGGGTGATGTTGTCTGACCAGCTCTGTGTAGATACAGGTTTAGGGGGGGGACACGACATCGAAATTTAGTAATTAAGACTTCGAGCTTTCTGGACTGACTCCAGTGGTGTTGCCATGGAAACATGAGGTGGTTATAGTTTGTCCATGTAGTTTGTCCATGAATGACGGAAGGAATTTGCCAGCCAAAAATTACTAGCCTCATGCATCGCTTAACAGATATATTGGTTACCACTTTCTTTTTCTTCCTCACATAACTACTTGAAACCTTCAAGAATATGAATAGAGATCGGGGTGACATCAGTCATGATGTGGCGCAAGCGTGGTGAGCCGACAGAGGGAAAGATGAGGCCAAGCAGCACAACATTCATACTTACAGGGTGGTCTCGCACTTACATAGACGAAGGCAGTGCTCAGATTTAGTGAAACATATGAGAGTTAATTCGTCCAGCTATGAAAAGAGTTCTGCTCACACCACAATTTTTTTGTAAGACAGATGCAAATTGCACCCGCTGAACTTTGAATAATGAATCTAATGATATCATATTACAGATGATTTCTAATCCAAAAAGTGGGTATTTAATTTGATATGCCTTAAGCAAAATTCACTTCAGCGTGAATAGTTAATAATATTCGCGCGCTTCTACAAAATAAACAGCACAGCACACATGATCAGGAATGTTAAGAGGCCTTATCAAGCGAGAAAAGTGCTTGTTACTGTCTACACAAGTGCTAAGTAAAATCATTGGTTGACATCATGGATCACCAAAATTTTTGAAATCATGAAGTCATCAAGTGACATCGCCGCTTGGTTTAACTTGGGAAGATCCCCGAGAAACTTACAAACTGCATGAGGAGCTGAAAGCGTTTGGCGAGTGAATATGGTCGACTGAGAAGCAGAAAAGGATGGCTGCTTCGGCATTCAAATCCTATAACAAAAACGAATATGGGATCTTGGGAGTCTTTTTGGGACAGAAATTTCACCCCCCACCTGTGCACTTACTGGGATTTCACGAATGCGACGGTAGACTTGTCAGAGTCTGATCAGTTTGTGCACATAGTACTGCAGATATTTTCATTCCAGTTTTACAACAGCAGCACAGTGTTGTGTTATGCGAAGTGATCACACGAAACTATTGCTTCATTAATGCCCACCTATGTGAATACTCATAGCACTAACCTGTGTTATGGTTATCGCGAAAACTCACGCACAGTCTTTTTTTTCAAGCTTCCATTTCTTTTGTTTCACACTTGAAATCGCCTCCCCCATCCCACCCCATTTGTGCTTTTACCATCTTGAGTGTCTGGACAGCACGCTAGCTGATTGGGAGCCTTGGCTTAGCGAGTGGAAGCTGCAAAACCAGTCCGGGTATTGCATTTGTCTTTCGGGAGGCGCAGGGCAATAGGCAGCTTACAAATTTGTGGCTGCACCCAGTGCGTACTCTAAGAAGTTTATTGGAAAAATACGCTTGAGTGCATCTACGTTTTCTACGAACGTCTCATTTTAAGGTGTCTATGGTGGCCAATGCTGAGAGTAAATGCGTTATGTGCCGCAATCGACAGTGAAGGCCGGGTGCCTAGAAAGTAAGATATAACATGGCCTACATGAGCGAACAGATTATTTGCCAAAGCTTAGCTTACTAGAGGTAAATGGTGACCGTCTTGTCTATTTCGTGCAGTTAAAGCTTTATTCCTGCTACCTCTCTGCTAGACCAGTCACTGCCCACTACAACAAGCAAATGGCATCATATCAATGATCTTCGAGGACACAGTGATCATTCGCAATACATGTGTTACCGTAATTTGAGAGTAAGTATTACGCTAGCAAACGCAATCTTTATGAAGAAGTTGTCATACTGAAAATATTGTTTCCAAACTTCAGAAAGGGGTCAAGACACTTGACGTTTGTTTTGCTGCGCGAGGCAGGGAACGCTATAGAGTTCACGCAGCCATCCGCACTTTCTACTACAGACACAAATATATAGCTCATTCACTCACAGTTTATATTATAGTTACTGCGCATATGCAAGTTTGCTTTCCACCAACTTGCCCGCAAACTATGCACAAACTTGTCAATGGGCCCTTTTCAAGTCTGATAAGCGCCTTTATTAAGGTCACCGAAATCTTAACTGGGGGTCGTAGCCTCTCAAGCTATCCGCCACGTACTGGTAAAAAAATTTCGGGGGCTTAGGATTTTTCAGGAATGATTTGCAGACGATTCATGCTACCTCTCAGTTAACAACTGTCACCACTCTTTGCAACGTTTAAAGAGGCTGCTTGGCCTTGTGAACTCACCTCCTCTCCCAAGAAAAAAATGTGACGCACGTCATGTCGCCACCCTTCACAAGTCCAGACTAGTCTCTCGAAAAACGTCCAATGTTATACTACCCTTAAACCAGTGTCCCGTGGAACACACACTGCCAAACATTCCTCAACTCTCCTGCGAAGGAAAGACCACCAGGTAATGTCCTACGAGTCTCAAAAATAGAAGAAGGCAAGGTCAAGCTCTCTGTGTACTTCAGAAACGCTTTTGCAGTCCCCTGGCTGCAAAGGCGAGCAGCCAAGCGCGTTCTGGAATACTCGGCACAATTGCCAAACCACTTGGTCAGGAATGTGGCACGCTTTGTCCACTTCTTTCTTTCTGTTACTCCATCTCTTTCTTTCTACTTTTTTCAGCAGCCTCTTCGGCTTACATTGTGTATTGGAGACGTAGCGGGTAAATTTACCCACTGGGCTATACACTGAAGTCTGAACTCTGAAGAAATAATCCATACATGTTTAGGCGGCATAGTCATAATTAGCGGCATCACTTTTGACAAACGTCCGAACTGACACGAGACAACTTCATGGTTCTTCTCACAGATGACGCCACCCCCACAATTGTTTGAAACATTTATTATTCGCTGAAAATATCTTGAGTCAAGTGCTGCTAAGCAAGCTTAGTGAGCACTGGTAATTACAACACATGAGATAGTCTTGCTAATGTGCAATAATTGTGATTAGCAATAAAAAAAAGTGAATTTGCACAAACCTGGCAAGCAGAAAAATGAGCTAAATTTACTCTGTCTTACATTTTAATTAACGTAGGACAATGTTTGCTGCATAGAAAACCTTGCCGCTTCAATATTAAAAATTTCAGATTTTCATCTTGGACAGTTTTTCCGCCTCGTCGGGAATGCCTGAACAAGTGGATCCATAAATTTGTGAATTCAAGCAGTTATTATTTATGAGCTATTCATCATAACACGAAACAACTTCGCATAAACATTAGGCAGAATGTAGCCAGGAATCCCATTCACTATTGTTGTTCTACACAAAAAGAGAAAAAGTTATTCACTCACAAACCTACATTGTTCTGCTCATTTAGACTGAAGCCTGCATGACTTTTTGATTGTTTTACTGGCTACATTTCTTAATAAAAACTTTGCATAAAGCTTTATAAAGATGCTCAGAAAATTTCATTTCGTTATGTTGAACAGTTTTGCCACACTTCTAGTGCAACGAAGGCTTGTACAGAAAAAGCACTGGTCTTTGCTCGCACTGTTTTGAGTGCTGTACAAAACCGCTTCAGACTAGGTGACAATACTAGCTGTCATTAGAAAGTGAAGAATGTAAGCTTTCTAATGCAATACAATATATATCAATAGGCTGAGCGTGCAACGTCAGCAAACAGTGAATAAAATGCAGAGCGGGTGCTGCCGGAGTGGGACCGCCACCTTAATAAATCATTTTGTTGGGCTAGTTGTGACATGCTTGCTTAATTCTAAAAAGATGCATACCTTCGGGAAAAAAGTGAGGACAGAACAGAAAGGGCATCACTCGAATTTAATTTTATTGTCGGAAAATCAGCGAAATATATAAGCGTAGCAACCTTGCACACGCCCATGGCCTCACATGCTAGCCAAAAACATGCGATAGGATTTACAACAGAAGAATGATGACAAAAAACACTAAACGAAAAAAGATTCTCGAGAATGAGATACCCCACCATGTAGAGCAATAGATGTGATATTTCCATGCGTATCTCTCTTCTTTTCATGTAGTATGCTTCCATAATTTTGCGTGCTAAAGTGTCATTACTCTTTCCAAGGAAGGATACAC